TGTATAGACCTCTATCATATCCCCCCTTAGTATCCTTTTTTCTAAGTGAAAAGTCCCAGTCTTTTTAATCTCTTCATATGGGACCCATTCCAAACCCCTAATCATTTTTGTTGCCTCTTTCTGAACCTTTTCCAATGCCAATATAACCTTCCTTCACCCCTCGCCCCTCATAGAAAGTCCAGCCCTGCTTAGCAAGGCTCTCTCTGCTAACTGTGAGCACTTTCCTTTGGAAGAGATTTAGCACAGTCCTGCTTTTCTGAGTTACCACAACATTACAAACATTGGTAACGTACTTCAACTATCCCTACATTTAATACAAACATAGCTAGTTCTGGGTCACAGACTAAGTTGATTACAATGAGCAGAATACCACTCCAGCTGCTGAATATCTAACAAATCTAAGCAAAGCAAGAGCAAACTGTATTTTCATAGATACACCCAGGGTCTCTCCCCACTTCCTGCTAGCAGAAAGGGGCATATTCTCCTGCTTTTGGAAACTATTTTTATGTAAGCAACAGACAGACACTCAGGGGCAATATCTAGAAGATGGAGAGCGTTGTCTCCATGAACATGAGGCCAGATCTTCCATTCATTTACAAGAGTTCTACCCTAGGGTAACTGCATTTACTTCAGCTGATTCATTGCTCAGTATTTAGTAGTTCACAGCTTTGCAGCAGGGACACCAAGGGGTGAATTGGATTCTTGGAGCTTGGGTAACATATTGGCTGTTCCCTTGCATCCTGTATCCTTTGTGTTAGTGGAAAACTTTCATGCAGCTGAAGTTATCAACCAAGTCAAATGAATTTAGTTCTGGAGAGACAATGCTGCAAGTGAGGGTGATGGCAGGCGAAGGGCAAATCAATGAGATTGTTTGTGTTAAACAATTCATGAAATAATGTTGCCATGCAGGACACAGGTGGTGCGTGACTAGTGTTGGGCACTGAGGCACCTGGCCAGCAGGGGGAAGAGAACCTTGTCCCAGGTGTGAGTGAGGCCCCTGGAAGCAGCATATTGGGGCATTAGATCTTGGGTATGCATTCTGGAGCATTTCAGGGTGTTTTGACACAAGTATGGGAATGATCAGAGCCTCACAGTGATGCAGCTGTTACAGGTTGGCTCCTCTACAAGACCAAAATTGCACTAACCACCCCACCCCCTGCCTCCATCTTGGTGCTGTGGGCCAATTCAATATGTCTTGCCTTGGGGTTCAGTCACAATGCAAGTTACACACACATTTTAAAGCATGAGTGTAGTAGCATGCCACTGGCACAACAAGTGTACATCTGGGAACACCGCAATGGGGCGAGGAAGCATCCAAAAACTCTCTTGGGGGAGAGGGAGGGAGCACCTGGTTACACAAACTTCCCTTCCCTCCCTCAGCGGGCTCCATCTCTTTCTTACCTTGTCTCCTGAGGACAGGCTGGAGTGCAAGCACGGGAGAGCCAGCAGGACTCTGCCCCCTTCTAAGGTGATCTGAGGTCAGGTCTGTTCTATCCCCAGCTTTGGGAACCTCCCCTCTCCTCCGCTTTCCCCTTCTTGTCACTTTAACGGCCTGATTTTCAGAGGTGCTGAAAATGAGAACTCAGTGTAGGGTTGTCAATCATCCAGGATTGTTCTGGAGTCCCGAGCAATTAAGCGTGACCTTTAATTAAAGATTTGATCATGTGATGACATCTCCAGGAATATATCCATCCAAAACTGGCAACTTTACCTCTGTGGAAGATCAGCAGCACCTTTGAAAATCAGACCATTGTTGTGACCAGCCCTTTGCTCTCCCCTCAGTCAGCTGTGGTCCCCCTCTTCCTTTCCCATCTTGGGCCTCTCTTCTCCTTCGTTCTCAGCTCTTTCCCACTTCCTGGAAGGGAGTTGGAAACACTGTGGCTGCTGCAGGTGGAGAAAGCATTCAGCGCAGAACCCACAGCAAGGGAACAGCCGCCTCTGGTGGCCATAGCATCTTGGAGGGACAATACAAACAAACCTGTTTTCAGTCCCAGCTGCTTGGAATAAACAGCGTGACCAGAGGACCCATGGAAAAAACCCCAGTGGCCACCAAAGGTAGACCGCTAGACTGTATCTATCCACTGTGGCGACCAGGGCAGCAGTGGGCAATTGGCAGCCTACTGGTGTTCTACAAGTGGCCCGTGAGACATTTTGTTTACCATGGCCCATGTGCAAGGTTACCAGATTCCACTGGTTTCTAGCTACGTAGTTTTCCCCCTACCCGTGTTACTAAAGTGACACGCATGGGAAGCAAGGGGATGTGAAGCGCGGTGTGTGCTGGTTGTACACAACACTGACTGTGAGAGCCGGGCGCTCCCTCGACAGCCAATCAAAGCGCTGCTATGGCTCACCTGGCACTAGTCACAAATTTGAGGTACACAAGTGCAGTGAGCAAAACTCCAGGGAGATCAGCTTGGTTACGACAACCTTGCAGCCCAGAGATGAAGGAGGGCTACTCATGCAGGGGGTCTGACAGAACTGCTGGGCCCCCAGGCAAGGTGGGGGGGGGGCACTGGCTCCGGGCTGCTGGAAGGGGCAGGGCTGGGCTAGCCTCCCCTCACTAGCCCATCAGCACCAGGCTCTGGTAAGGATTTAAAGGACCTGTGGCTCCAGCTGCCGCCCGTTGCTACAGTATTAGCAATGGCGGCAGACCAGCCTGGGCCCTGTGTCCCCTCCCCTGGTTGGTGGGCCTGCACTCATGCGGCCCGCTCTCAAGCCTAGGTTGCCCATCGCCGG